TGTATGTACAGTGTGCAGAATGACCAGCGATATGGAAAGATTCTCGTTTAGGATCCACAGAACTTACAGTCATCCCATTGACGGTGCCCAGCTCCTCCCGTATGGTGAATATATCCAGCAGTGCCTGTGTGGGGTGCTCCCCTACCCCGTCCCCGGCATTGATGACCGGCTTGCGGCAGTGTTTGGCAGCCAGCTGGGAAGAGAAGACAACAGAACGAGGTAATATACATCAGATGACGGTAAGATGGAAAAGCTGTCATGGTACGAATGGTTCCTACCTCCACCGCTCCCGGCTCCGGGTGTCTCACCACCAGAACATCGGCGTAACAGCTCATCGTCTGCACAGAATCCACCAGAGACTCGCCTTTCTGGGAGGAGGATGTCGTCTCCGAGAAAGTGAGCACCGAACCTCCCAGGCGCTGCATGGCCGCCGCAAAGGAACTGCTGGTCCGCGTACTGGCCTCGAAGAACATGGAGGCCATGACCTTACCCTAAGGGCAAGAGGAGGACAGAGATGGAGAAGTATCAAAGGAAGAGGACGGGGGTGAGAAGGAGGAGAACCCAACAAGGAGGATGGGGGTGAGAAGGAGAAGTACCCACGGAAGAGGACGGGGGTGAGGAGGAGAACCCAACAAAGTGGACGGGGTGAGGAGGAGAAGAACCCAACAAAGTGGACGGGGGTGAGAAGGAGGAGAAATAACCAACACTCATCACACCAGGAAGGAGTAAACAGGACACAGGAATTAGGACAGACAGTGCAGCTCTTCTGAACACAGTATAAAATGGAACCTCTTAGAAATCATGTCTCTGCAGCCAGCCGGACTCACATTTCATTTTATTTCAAACATTGACATAACTTTGTAATACCAAAAAGCTGCGATTAACCCCTTTTGTATCAATGAGTATATAATAAAGTAATATTGGGGAACATTCTCCCCCCCTCCCCGCACAATCATATAATGAAGTGCACTTTAGGTTCCCAGGAACCCTTTGTGTAAATGTCCATTAGGTGGCCACCTTGATCCATCCAGGCCAAGCGGCTGATATTGTAACTCGCGGCTCCAGGCCAGATCACTCTACTCGTCAGATAAGTGCAAACAAGTCTCAAGAGGAAACATGGCATTCCGCCTGGAGCAGCACAGCTAGATCCGGGATCCTCCTCTCGGTCGGCTCAGCCAGCCAGCGTGCCCCTCCTCTGCAATCTTCCACCTTTCACAATGACGCCATAAACTTAGACTTGGACTCAGGAATCCAGACGAGTCCAAGAAAAGATGGCTGATCAGGGAAAAGTGTAGAAGTTCCCGATAGATGTGCGGCTCCCACATGGGGTACAATCAGAGTTTGAGGCTCCCTTGATGTCTCACTGGTGAACTTAGATTCTTCAAACAGGTTATATCTTATACTGTGTAATCAGGAATAGCGACGACCGCCGCAAGCGAGAGATATAGACAGAGACTATAATAAATACACACACATTATATATATATATATATA